AGGTAATCATATATTAGGATGAAATACGTAGGATTCCATCTTCGCTTATCTTAACCTAAACCATTCAATTTATTCATAAGTTGTCAACATGACTTGATTGTACAGAAAAGTTGCTTTTAATGAAAAAGTGAAATTTTATTATCTATTCAGTGGTTATGTTACTTTAGCCACATAATGTGGCACACCCAGAAACAGTCCTCATGAAGGCATTGGAAAAGTACTCTGATGACCTGAACTGATGTTGAAATTTCAGAGATTCTTAGCTCTACGTCAGTGAGTGGGAAAGGACATCCAATTTCCTGTGGATGTTGACCAAGACACCGCACACAAAAATACAAAATAGACTTACAAGAATATTCTAGAGAAAAGACCTCATGGTAGACTCATTCTCATAGTGATTTGACATACCCTTAGCTCTATCTCAAACCTCTGTTTCAATAATTACAGCTCTTGTGATAATTATTTACAACCCACATGTTGCCAGACACTACTGTTTCTGATTATAGGTCTGCATTTGCTTCTTTTGAATTTTAATAATTTGTGGACTTTATCCAAGTGTCTGGGTGATGTTGTAATTCATTATTGATGAGAAAAAGAATAAGCTAAAATCATAGTGCTGGTTATGAAGACTATATTAAATCAATTGCTATATCAATAAAATAATTTTAATTAATGGGGGCGGAGTCTGAAGGCTTACCTTATCTTTTCTCATCTACAACACCATGTATGTTTCTTCTTTTCTGTTGCTTCCCCATCACTTAGTACCATTTACAACTGCTAAATATTTTTGAATAAATGAATGTGTTGAAGAAATGTATGTAAAATCTAAAAATATACTTTTGATTCAATTATAATCTGTCCAAATTCCCCTTCCCTGATTTTTACTGGAAATGTTTAGTTCTTCCTGAGAGTTACAAGCCTAGACGCCCTTGTTCCTGTACCTAATTGTTTTTGTGCACGTGAATCTGTGGCATTTCCATGTATATTAACTGTGAAGCCATTCCCTCCAGAGTAACTAGATAACAGCATGATTATCACAAGCAACTCTTTCAGATTTATGAAGCCTTGATACATATTTTTAAGCTACATAGCCTATGAATTCACTAGATTAGAGTATATGAACCAATAACTTTATTTGATTTATGCTAAAATTGAACCATTTCATATTTCTTCACTTATTACCTCTGTTCCATCTGCTATATGTTTATTGCTATCTTAAAATATTTTCCAAATTCTTTTTTAGTTTTTTAAAGTTTTATGTCTTTTTTATTTGCTTGTTGTCATATTTTATTTAATTAAATGCCATTTTCTTGCCAATGGCCAATATATTTAATGATTAAACACTTAAACTGTTGATGATTTTATGTGACAAAAATAAAGAATCTGTTGTCATTATTCTTATTTAACTTAGCTCTGGAAAGACTGTTCAGTCCAATAAGAGATAAAAATCAATAATACATAGCTATTGAAAGATGTGGAGACAAAATACCATTATTTCTAAGTGATAAGTTTGCTTACTTTGGTTTTCCAGGTAAAAACCGAAATCAAAGAAACAAACAAAAATAACAAGTTCTGTATAGAACAGTTGTTTTCAAAATGTGGTCCTCAAGGCCCTCTCAGAGGTTTGTTAAGATCAGGGTTATTTTATTTATTTATTTTTTGAGACAGGGTTTTGCTCTGTCACCCAGGCTAGAGAGCCGTGGCATGATCACAACTCACTGTCTCCTTGACCTCCCAGGCTCAAACGATTCTCCCACCTCAGCCTCCCTAGTACCTGGGATTATGCCACCAGGCCCAGCTAATTTTTGTATTTCTTGTAGAGATGGGATTTCACTGTATTGCCCAGGCTAGTCTCCAACTCCTGAGCTCAAGTAATTCACCTGCCTCATTCTCCCAAAGTGCTGGGATTAAAGGCAGGAACCACCACACTTGGCCAAAGATATTTTCTCTATAGTACTAATATGTTTTTGTCTTTTCAATATAAAAAATACATCATAATGTGTCTCACCTTCTGAGTTTACAATGAAGTCTTCCAGCGGCTATGTGATGTGCTATTCCAACAGATTGAAAGCAGAAACATATTAAAATACATCTGTTTTCTATTAAGCCAGATATTAAAAGAGATTTATAAAATTGTAAAACTGCATCTCTTCTCACTATGTATTTTGTTTTAGAAGACATAATTATTTATTGTAGAAATAGATCACTTAGGTTGACTTTCTTGATATTTTTACATGAACATTTTAAAAACCAGAAATTCAAACCAATACAGGATATATGAATAGTTATAACCGACACAAACAGAAGATCTTTGACATCTTCATTAATTTTTGAGACTGTAAACTATTTTAAGATAAAAACTTTGAGAATTGCTGGTGCAGAGGATTGGTAATATGTATTTATGTATATATACAACAGCAATAACCAATTATAATTCAAAGTGGAAAAAGTGAAATATTTGGGAATAACCTTATGGATCTATGTGGAATATATAATCAGTATAGTATAGGGGACTCAATAAATAGAGATTCGTACCATCTTCCTTGGTATGAAGTTTGAGTATTATAATAGTGTTTACTTTTTAATTTATAGATTTCATCTATTTTCAAACATTTAATGTATGTGAAGTATTTAGCATATTTCCATTAAAATTTCAATGGAAATATGTCAAATCTATGAAAATAAAAATTTTTATAAGATTTAAATTCTAAAGTTTATATAGGAATAACAGAGCAATAACTACAAAAACATTTAAAAGAAAGATAATGAAGGGAGACCTGCCTTATCTGATATTACAGTTACAACACAGAGTCAGATGAATAGAATTAACTAATTCAAACTTCACTGTGTGTTGTGCATATGTGTGTATAGGTATATATTTGTGTGCATTTAATATTAGATAAAGGAGTAATTCATGTTCAGTATTATTCATGATAAGGGTTATATAAGTGGAAATATATTTTATCATTTCATTAAAGATAAATGTCATTAATATTAAAAATATTGCTAAGCATTTGTAAATTGTTGGGGGGGGCAGTTGTAAATTGAAACAACCTTCTAAGATAGCTATTTGCTACTATACATCAAATGCTTTAAAACATTCACAATCTTTTTTTTTGTTTTGTTTTTGTTTTTGTTTTTTTTGACGACGGAGTCTCCCTCTGTCGCCTAGGCTGGAGTGCAGCCGCGCGAACTCGGCTCACTGCAAGCTCCACCTCCCGGGTTCACGCCATTCTCCTGCCTCAGCCTCCCGAGTAGCTGGGAGTACAGGCGCCCGCCACCAAGCCCGGCTAATTTGCTTTGTGTTTTTAGTAGAGATGAGGTTTCACCGTGTTAGCCAGGATGGTCTCGATCTCTTCACCTCGTGATCCGCCCGCCTTGGCCTCCCAAAGTGCTGGGATTACAGGCGTGAGCCACCGTGCCCCACCGAAAACATTCATAATCTTTAACGTGGCAAATTTATTCCTAGCAATCTCTCCTGGGGAAATGTTCAGAAATAGGAAAACATTTCTACATAAATATGTTCACAACAGCAAATTTTATATTAATTCAAATTTTAGGACAACATATATATCTATATCTTGAGCAATGATTAAATAAATATGGAAATGACAAAAAAACCTGCATGTGGAATAGTATTAACTAAGAGTAGAAAATACAACTATGTGAAAGAGGATATAAAACTACCAAGGGTAGATAATGTAATACATTAAAAGTGGTTATCTCTGGATTCTGCAATTATGGATAGTTTTTATTATCCTCTTTATTCCTTTTTGTATTTTCTTATTTTTTTTTTTACAAAGATCATATATCACTGCTAAAGTAAATAAAAGCAATGCAATTTAATTAATTTTACACAGAACTATTGACTTTTTAATTCATAGATTAAGACATCAGACATGTTTCATAACAGTTCTGAAATGAGATTTTATATTACATTTCAGCTATGGGTTACCTGTTTTTTTCCATACGCCAGTGGCTTCCTTGAGTCGTACCCCATTTTCAGAGTGTACTTATTATCCATTTGCCAGTAAACTATGTAACCTTAAACCAACCACTTTTCTTCTCTTGGCCTTTAATTTCCTTATCAAATGTTGTTTCTTCCAATTCTATAATTTGAAAATTAAGTAGTAAAGATCTCCAAAGCTATATTTCCAACCAAAACATCATCCCCTGTAATCTGTCTGTCTTCTACTATACATTTTCTCCTAACATATTGTCTTATCTTTTGTGCTTCTTCTCCTCCAACCCCCACCTCCCAACATGTGATGATTGAATAAGGGATTATAATGTCATCTTTCTGTCTTTCTCTTAGTACTACTCAACATTCTCAGCAATAGATCTTAGTGGTCTTTATGTAATATTGCTGACAGATTGTCATCTACAGAGCTTTGGTGATTCTCATTGTCATAGAATTTACTAAACTCTGTAGAACTTCTAAGAGTCTAGATCTACATGGACTGCCTCAAGCTTGAAAGTGAAGTCCTGTTGCCTTTCCTTTTCATCCTTAGCTCTTTTTGATATAGGCTTGGTACAGTTATAGCCAACCCAGACTTGGATCATATATTTAACATTTGAAATGAGCAGCACTTGGGAAATACTTTCTTTCTGATGAAGCTATTATGTATTATTGTAACTATAGTTTACAACCTGCTATTTTTACGCTGTGGTGCTTACTAGAGAACATTGTTATATTTAGTTGTTAATTCAAATAAGTAATTAAATATGTTAATGGATGACAATATGAATGCATGTTGGTACAATATTGTAACCTTCATGCCAGTCAATTCACTTGATATCACATGTCAGTTTCTTATAACTTAAGGGGTATTAAATTCTTCAGTATAAAGTTTTAAGCTATAGTATACATTTTAAATGGAAAAACAAAACCTTAGAGTTGATTCTCTTTGTCAAATAAGTCATTTCTGGGGTGGAAAATATGCTGTTTGATGCCTCTGTGTGATTCATGTGTACTGATAAATTTCTTTTTAAACTTGCAGCAAATAGTGGCAGCAATAAATGCAGGGATTATACCTTTAGGAAACACCTCCAATCAAATCAGTCACTGGGATTTGGGAAGTTCCTTCTTCTTTGCTGGCACTGTTATTACAACCATAGGTAGGAGACAACTTATTTTTGTTTTTTGTTTTGGTACAGTTTGTGAGATAAAATCCATTTGTTTGAATTTTTTGCATAGTTGGTCAAAAATCATTTTACTTAAGATAGAAAAACTAGATTATAGTAAATTGATTGTGCAAAGGGGGTTTAAAGGTTTAAACAAAGGAATAATGGAAATGAATTCGTTGTTATTTTAGAATACTGAGTTGACTTTAAAATACATGTGAAACAGGAGCAGTGCAGTTCAGTCATTTGACTAATGGTAGTAATGTCAAGAAACAGCTTAAAATGATTATTTCTTTAGACAATTAGTTTTTCATTTTCCTGAATTTTTGATACTTTTTGTGTAGCAGAAAATGATTTGAATACAATTTTAACATTCTTTTCATGGAAGTTCTTACATGATATCATCTTTTCGAATTTGTAAATTTTAACTCTACATTTTAACAGATTGTGCCTGTTAATATGGTCGTTTGTGATGATTACTTCAGGACTTGTTTTTTATACATTATATTTTGCTAGTAGCATAAATATATAAAAATTTAACACTGAAATGTGAGGATTATAAAAAGTATGAAAATTTAGGCCCCTGATGATTTTTTTAAATCGCGTTGTTTGTTATAATGTTGAAAGGGTTGCATAATGAACGTGGTCTCTTTTTTCAACTCACCCACACGTATGCTTGGTATCTTCTAAAGCAGCAGAATGGGTACATGTAGATGTCCTCTCTGCTAGTTTGTCATTCAGTGCCCAAAAGCTATTCAGGAAACCTAAACACAGATCTCATAGTGAAAGCCATGTTTGTCATTCTGTGAGAATGAGAAAAGCTGCTTGCTAATGGAAAGAGATGCATTTAAAGTGTATTTTTTAAGAAAGAGAAGGAAATGGACTCATCATAGTTATGAAGGAATTTCAGGTGTGAGAAAATATGTTTAAAAAAGGGAGTTCTTTCTTTCCACATACCTTTGGAATAAGTTGAAATCCTGAAAGTTTCAATCTTATTTTTGTGATATCATTCATAAATTATGACATGTATAACGTTTTCATGTCAGCAGATTATATCAAAGTACTAAATAGGAGAACATGGAAAATTTATGGATGAACTCTCACTTAAAAGTTTTTCTACAGGTATTTGTACTGTTCTATCGTTATATGAATCCACTGTAGTGCCTCTTTGCACTGGATCGCATGCCAGCAAAATACATACTTTAGCATGCTGATTTTTTGCCTTTTTTGAGAGGTCAAGAAACTATGTTTACTCTTACATTTCCATCAGCTAGGTCAAAAGTTGTGTGGCTGTGAAAATCTGGAAGAATGGCAACCTTGATTTCTAACCATAATAACAGGTTAAGTTTGGGGCTTAGACATCTTGGCCATTTCTACTATGGAAATAACTATTTATTGTGTAAACTACTTAGAGTCTAGAAGAAAAAAAGCTCACAGACTGAGTGAGAATGGTTTGTTTCTGCCAATGAAAATTCAAAAGTCTAAGTTATAACTCATCATGACCACCACTAAATTATTTTGCAGGAGACTCAGTCATTATACAGACTTACTGTTGCCCTGTATGTTTATAAACAGTCTCATTTTTTGAATCCCCAAATACAGTAAGTTTTGCAGACATACACTTGAACACATGAAAAAATATAAACCATTATTACCAGCCTTACTCCAAATTATAGCCATTAAGCACAGTAGCTGATCATTTAGGCTCTTTAGGTAGCTGCCTGACAGCCCAGATATTCTACTCTTCTATCTCAGGCTTTAGTCTTCAGTGGATTAAATCATTCCGGGTGACCCATATGAGGACTTTTTACTGCATGGTCTTTTACTCTTGTGGTCAACACCATGTCCTCTAATCTTGGACTAGGTTATGGTGGTCTAGGGCAAGAGAAAAAATTTGTCCTCTTTTCTAAGTGTGCATTTGACGTCAAAGTCATTATTCCATAAAATTCAAAGTATAATTAATAAAATTGCTAATGATAATAATTGTGTGAGCTTTGAAGTGATTTTTAGCAATCATAGAAATTATGACTTTTAGTAATAGCTGCATTACATAAGACATTTTAAAATGACATTAGAAGTTGGGAGAGTTTTGAAAAATAAATTGCAGTGGCTTTTAGAGGGTTCCTGGTACAGGCAGTGCTTCACGGAACTGAGTTGGCCACAGTTGTCCAAGGATTTTCTGTTCAATTTCATCAATTTTTCTAAGAAGCAAACATAATCCTCACTATTCCTTGGAAATATGCCCAAGGGGTGTAATACAAAATAAAATATTAAAATTTAAGACCAAATTTTAGAATATCTGTTCATATATCTAAACACCCTTTCCAAAGTTATACACTTCCAAATTCTTCACAAATCCTCTTCCATAGTTGCACAGACTGAAATCCATTCTTGACCATTCCTTTTCTCTCATATGCCACTTCCATTCCATATACCAGTCCTGTTGGCTTTGCCTTTATATTAGATTCATACTTTAACCACTGCTCAGCATTCAAGTTGCCACCATTTTTGTCCAAAGTAGCATCATCGCATGCCAGCAGCGTTGCAGCAACCTTCTGCTCAGAAATCTTCTGTGGTTTCCAACTCAGTCAGAGCAAAAGCCATAGTCCCTTGCTGATTTTTCCTAGTAAAATGCAAGCTCTATGAAGTTAGGGATTTTTAATCATTTGGGTCTTGCCTGCATCTCCAAATGCCTGATATATATTGGGTGCATAATAATTATTTTTGAAACTAAAAACAAATAGGCATTCTATATGGTCTGAACTATGACTTATTGGAAATTACATAACACCATATTGATACCTGTGAGGCTAAGTTATTAACCCTTTCAACATATTTCATTGCCAGTCTGTTTGTCTATATATTAATTCAACAAATAATAAAACACTATCGCTCTATTGCTATAAAGATAAAAAATAAATTCCGTGGTTTTAAGTTGTACATAGATCAGTCAGGGAGAAGTGTGAATAAATACACATTTACAATACAGTGTGCCAGGAGTTGTGAGTTAAGAGCATTTAATGGGAATGTATTGATGCAACACTTTACACAGATATTGGGTGGGTAGGTGAGTGAGAAAGAGGCGAGGGATGGTTCCTTTTCCTTAGTAGGCATTGTCCCAGTTGACTGGATAGAATTAGGAATTTGCCAGGTGAAGAAAGTTGGAAAGGGAGCCTTGCAGGCATAGGGAGCTCATGTGGAAAAGACCAGGGGTAAGAGACAGTGTGCTCTGTTTGGCTAGTGCCAGTTATCTAGAATGGCTGCTTGGAGTTGACGGGAGTCATCGTCAGAATCATTTTAATCTGTAAGTCAAGGTAAGAAGCTCCTGCTGATCTGTGCTACTTCTCCTGCTGCCAGGATTACAAAGGAAGTAAGGACATAGTCCCTGCTTGCAGTCTCATTTGGGAGACAACATTTACACATATGAAATGACTGAAGAATAACAAAAATAAGTCTTGGATAATCAAATGTAACATAGAACCGGAGTTTCAGTGCTATGAGAATTGAGAAAAAGCGAAGAACACATGGGCTGGAACTGAGAGTCTTAAGTGGAGAAGTTGGATTTGAACTGTGCCTTGAAGAAAATGTTTCTTTTCTTTTTTTTGAGACGGAGTCTTGCTGTGTCTCCCAGACTGGAGTGCAGTGGCGCGATCTCGGCTCACTGCAAGCTCCGCCTCCCCAGTTCACTCCATTCTCCTGCCTCAGCCTCCTGAGTAACTGGGACTACAGGCGCCCGCCACCTCTCCTGGCTAGTTTTTTGTATTTTTAGTAGAGACAGGGTTTCACCATGTTAGCCAGGATGGTCTCGATCTCCTGATCTCGTGATCCACCCGCCTTGGTCTCCCAAAGTGCTGGGATTACAGGCGTGAGCCACGGGGCCCGGCCGAAGATGTTTTGATTTAGACTGAGGAAGGGGAAAAAGCCTCCCAGTCTGTGGCATGACTAAGCAAAAATCCAAGAAGGGGAATGAGCTGGATTTATTTTGGGGATAGAAAGGTAAGTGTTGGAGTAGACTTGTTTAAAGACATTGTTTAAAGAAGACTTGTTTAAAGAAGTAGTGGGAAATAATATTGACTTCTTTAGATGGAAAAAATGCATTGAAAATAATCCCATGTTTGAGGATCTACTGCAATAAGATAGAACCTGGATTTTTAATAAAAGTGAAGTCAAAGTTTAGAAGTGACAAGAAGCATTTGTCAGGAAGAGGATTAGCGAATACTGACAGTTTGTCTGAGAGAGCAGTTAGGAGGCATTGCAGTGATCCGGGGAAGGAGGGATGTATTGACTGGGATGATTGGAGTTGGTGTGGAAGGACAGGAGTAAGCATAAAATGTTGGAATAATTGGATACAAGAATCAACAGGCCTTGGTGACTAATAGAATGAAGAGACAGGAGTCAAAATATTGAAAGTGAAATGAATATTTAGGCATCAGGCTTGTAACTCACAGACAGTGCTAGTTGATATTTTTTTGTTTTTGTGAGAAAGGAGTAAAAATGTGGCCAAGATTTTATATGTTGTATTATTTTAGGAAGCTTCATTTTAGTCGTTCCTTTCTCCACCTCGCCCCCATTTTTTGTTTGTTTGTTTCTTCTTGAATTCAGCAAGACTAGAAAAATTGGGATTGAAGAGACCAATGACCAATCAGTACATTAAAAACAAGACCATGAATGATTGCAATCAATGTAGCAAAAGAAACTCATGATAGAGAATAGATGATGGAGCCAGAGCAGGGAGTGGGAGGTGTTCTAAAGAGGCTGATTCAAGAACTCTCTGAGGAGGTGACATTTAAGCTGAACCCTGAATGATGAAAATAAATCAGCTATGTAAAGAAAAGTGGAAAGATTAATGAAGGCAAAGGGCACAACAGTGGCAAAGATTTGGGTGGAACAGATTTTGGCATGTTCAAGGAATACAGATGAGGCAGTGCCTGGGGGACTGCAGGAAGGAGAGAAGGGGAAAGGAGTGAGGTTAGCGAGAGAAGAGGCAGCAAGAT